GATCTCAATGGATAGATGTGCACTGCAAAAGAACCATAACTCTGTTAAGCCTTATTTTTGAATAATCTCCCCTTTTAGAAAAATCTTGTCCAGGACATAGCTGTAAAACTATAAGAGATATCAACATGAAACTGTGTAGGTAGATAAATCTCAATGGGTAGATGTGCAGTGCATAAGAATCATAACTCTACCTTGCCTAATTCTGGAGTTATTGCCCTTTGTTTATTTTTACTTTTTGAATTGTCCAGGACATAACTCGGAAATCATAAGAGATATCATCAAGAAACTTTGTAGGTTGATAGATCACATTGATTAGAAGTGCAGTGCAAAGAACTGTAACAGCCTTGCCTAATTTTGGAATTATTGCACTTTGAACTTTTTCCACGGACATAACTCTGAAACTACAAGAGGTGTACTTTCCTGTGTCCAAAACCTATTCGGGGAGCATCACCCGGCTCAAACCGGGCTCTTGTTTTCTCTTACTATTAATTTTTTTGTTATCATCCGCTTTACTTCATTTTACACGCAGACCAAAAACTTCACCCTGGCTGTTGTCGACCGACACTCGGTAAAGAATCTAAAGTAGTTTTCAGTTAATCAATGTAAATGATCAACTTTAAGAACACTGATATAGGACTCATCATAAATATACTAAATGAAATGAATGTAAATCAAATATTTTGGTTTTGTTTATTTAAAGTGTCTTACAAATTGATCAGCAGTTCTTCTTTATTTCAATCTCCATATATTCGATCTTCTTCAACAAAAGCTTTCAAAGTTCACGGTAAACTAGGAAAATTTCAACGATAAGTGCAAAAGCATTACAATTTGTTTGAAAGCTTGTGGTGAACAGTGTCAAATGTATAACAATTTTGACGTTTTTATGGTCTATAAATCTTGATGATAGTTTATCTTTATGCTTTTGAAATGCATTTTGTACATTTATTTTTGTATCCATTTCTTCTTGTGAGTTAAAATACAATTTCAAAATTCACATTCAATAAACCACATATATATAACAGTACCAAGGCATTCAGACATCATGTTGTGTTGCCAGCATTTATGTGTGACTGGAATATATAATTTTTCATTATTTCAGCTTTTTATCTGTCAAAACTGTCAAAAATTCTATTACTAGTAATAATTTTAACGTGTACCGAGCGACTATACAACGAATAATTTATGTTTATGTTATAACAATTTTTTTCTTTGGGTTACAAATGATTATGAAATGATCGTTTTTCTCAATCAACTTGAATTAATCATGAAGGATTCATTAAATACGCTCTAAAATACTCAGTGGGCCACTTTATATTTTTAAAGGAACCGATGTCCAAAAGCCTAAAACCTTGAATTTCTTACAAAGACCAGCTGTAATCTTATGACTAGCAAAGTACAATGCACATGTAATTTAAATGCACATTGTGTTTTTGAAACGAATATTTTTTAGAAAGGGTTCACATGTTTTGACTTCCATACAAAATGCTAAATCACTATTTGTGTACCAAATGCCAAAAGCAACAGACGCAAAAGATAGTTCAGGAAAAAGGTCAATGAGTATTTTGAAAACTTGAACAGTACACCAAACGTAAAATGCTTTTGAGAAATAAAAGTAAAATCATTTCTTGGGCATAATGAGACTTTAATAGTTTTACATCAACATTAGATATTTCGAGATAAAAAATAAGAAACACTATATGATAAATACACAGATGCAGTGAACATTACGTGTGAGCTAAATTACCTTCCAAATTGTAACAAAAGTAAAACTTTCATTTCAACGGATTTTCCGTTTTTATGCTATGTTTATCATTTCGGTAACATGCATATTGTCATTTTGCCAACATATATTTACTTTTATCGTTAGCAGGTAATTTCTCAACTGGAGGTCTGAGTATAAAAAATCATCATGGTTTGATAACTCTAGATTACCTTTGTTATAAAGATTACAACAACTGATTTTAAAAGTATTTAGTGGCTGTATTGGTAGTTTCCACTCCGGATTACGGAAGTAAGCAACATTGTATTTACCAGAGCACAGTTCAGTCACCAAATTGTTCCTGGGCATGCTGCCAAGCAGTTAACCAGTACTAGTTGTCTCCACTTCGCAAGGACCTGATAACTTTTGTGCATTCCAGAGCGGAGGTACAGTGCGAATGTACAGGCCAGGGTTCTAAATCATTTGCTTTCTCTGGTATTAAATTATGGAATGATTTACCTGTAAAGTTAACGGAGATCAACAGGTTACAAAGTTTTAAGGTTGCCATCAAAAGTCATCTTATGAACAGTATTTAAAAAAAATTTTTTAAACATGTTTTTACATATTTCGGCTCAGGATTTTAAATTGTCTGCCATTTATCTTATTACAATTTTAGTAATGTGTTTTAAATCCTAGCTGTAAACAGGAGTATCATTAACTCAAGATTTGACTGTGATATACATTTTTATGATTTATTAGTATTCTTAAACATGATTATTTTAAGGTTTGCCTCTCTATGTCATGCCGCCAATACAAAGGACCACAATGGAAATAAGAGCTTTTTTGCCCTTTTTTGTGTTATCCTTGGTTTTGGTGAGCATGTCATAGTTTTACCCGTATGTGATATAGTATTTAATAATGCTCATTATTTTATCCTATGTTATATTGTCAACTATGTATATGCTTCCTTTGCCGAAATAAATCTATCTATCTATCTAATGACCATAGAAAGGATTTCATTATCAGCACAAGGAAGTGACCTGCACGGTCCGGGAATCGAACCCAGATCGCCCAATTCACAGTCCAACGTTCTGCCTATTAAGCTAAGGACGATTCTTTAAAAGTATTTAGACAAATGTAAAAGTTATAAATGGATTCATTCATAGTGGGTACTTTTACCTTTAAAAAGTTGAAAGCAGTAATATTTTGTATATTCCAGAGTAAAGTGTAAGGCCAGCATGTGCGTTCATTCAGACTCTTTTGTCAGTCCAATCTATCATTTCGTTCATAAAGTCCTTTAAACTTAGAACAGTTATGGTTAATTTCATTGCATAAATTCAGAAAAGATTAATGCTAAATGCTGCATTAAAGATCTGCTATAGGCACTGAAGCAGTATTTTCAAAAAGATTAACCAACACTTCATACGTGCAATGTTGAATGTTTGTTTTAAATTTTAATGGATGGATGATAAATTATTTCTACTGTAATCGCAAATTTACATGTATAGTGGATTTTGAAATACATGTTTTCTAATGTTAAACGTGAGCTGCGTTTCTTAAAAAGTCTTAAGTGTACCTTATGTCCTAGGACATAAATCCAACCTAATTACTAACTTAAGAACGTTTCAATAAATGTTTTTACCTCCAGTCAAAGACTGTAGACTATAATTAAATTCATTTTTCGGAGAAATGTTAAGAAATACAATGATAGATTCTTCTATTCACAGTGTGTTTTGCTCATCTGTATTGTTATTCAGAAATCAAAAGAGTTATAACATAGGAATCACAACTTCACAAGTTAAGACTTTTTCTTTAAAACGCAAAATTATCTATCTTGGTCTTAAAATCTGGAAAAAAAGTGATCCCTCGAAATCATTAATCACAACAGAATTACATAAGAATTGCAGACTCGGTTTGATTGAGTCTGTACATGATTTCAGACTGATTTCAAACTGAGGACTTTCTATGAAACGCAGTTCCCTATTTCTTGTCCCAGAAAACATTTTATTATGACGTTACACAGACGCACTTTTACTGCCAAGCACACTAGGATTTTGCGAATTGATGTGTCTTATTTTTAAAGTTCGTGAAAAGAAAGTAGCTACCATATCAAATTCATACTAAAACAGCTCCATTAAGATAATTTAAAACCAGAAATGAAATGTTGATAAACTGCATGCAAAGATCTAACTTGTATAATTTCGCCTCAGATAAAGTGGCAAAACAGTTTTCTGTTAATGTGTTTGTCAGGTGCATTATGTTTTTGCTTGTTTACATGCAAAACAATTTATCCATTCATGAAACCAATTTTCCGAGCTGTTGAAAATGTCCCATTTTCCCCAATTCCATAGATCCTATGCAAATAATACCAGATATATGATAGATATTGCAGGGATAAAAACATGGTAACCATTAATCAATTTGTCAGAACTATACAAAAAGTTGGTAGAATAATTTTTTCCACCGAAGTGTTTAAAAAAATATCATTCACTTTCATACATTTTCTTGTTTGCACACTCCAGATAGTACTGTTCTAAATAGAAAACTTAAAAAAAATATCATGATTATATATTTCCCGACGATTGAATCATGTTTTACCATACACGTCAGCATTTGGGTACAAAGTGAACTGAATTACTCTTACTGCTTAACTTATGGACAGGCTGTACCACAATGAGCCTAAGATTTGCACTTACAAGTTGCCTCTTTAAGTATTAGATTGATTTCTTATGCAGTTTGAAACAGACCATCGATTGTTGCATCAAGCACGATCCCTTATGCTACAGCCAAAAAGTTAGGATTATTTTTGGATTATTTTTAAAGCAGTTCAACCGATGATAGGGTGCGTGGACGGTTACTAGCAAATTCCTTTACCGCCCATTAACAGGCTCAATCAAACGGAGCTTGCGACAAATTGTCGTTCTGTGCGTTCTATAGGAATTATTTTTTTCCTATATTCTAAGTGCTAATATGTTGAATCCATATGTTATGCATACTGAATTCCAGATACTTTTACCTGTATATGGTCATGAAGCTAAATATAAGATTGTATATATATATATATATCTCTGTGATATTGTATATTTGCATTTTTTATGTGAGGAAGCTAATCAGTAAGTTTACTAAATGTCAGTGGTTCTGCTCAGGTGCATAAATGGTTTGTATTGTGTAAAAATCTGAAAATAAAATTTAAAAAAAATATTTACCAAAGCAAACATTTAGTGATGTTTTGCCTAAAGCTTGAATTACAGCTTGAACGACAGTATAATTCAGCGACGCACCGGTTATTTACTTCCGGGCGTGGAAATTTAGATTTTTTTGGATATTTTTTAAATCTTAACGAATTTGACACGGCATGGAAGCAAAAAGAAAAGCAATGGACGGAGCACTCGTTCCAGTTAAACGTCCTAGAAATGAATTAGTAGCTGTGGGGGATAAGGAAAACTCAATAGTACAGAGTGTAAGGCTTTGAAAGTTTGATTTTTGTAAACAAATAAGTTTTAGTGGGTGGGGTAATTGACCAGCGAGATAAATTATTTTAATGCAAATAAAATGTACATTAGTTACATAGATATTTTAGTTCTTCAACTTTGATTACATGCGATTTGATGAAGAAATCACGTTTCCAGGTCTTGACATTACTTGGATCAACCAAAAGTTTGATAGAATTGTTTTTACTCAACGTCACTTGTTTTAAATCATCACTAATGATGATACTCTAGCTGAAAATGTTACAGGGGGGTTTTCTTGTGTGAGATGGATACGGATGGATGAACAACAACTAAAATGGTTTCAGCTTCATCTTGATTTATACTCAGTTTTCTTTTATACATACAAATTTGACGTAAGATATCTTTCTTTCAATTCTTCATGACCAAGTTAATACTAGTCTATAAAGTCCTCAAACCAAGAAGAATTTGTTAATAAAAAGCATCAACTCATTACAAAAATAATTATTAATACAGCATTACAACATTTCTCATTTTCAACATTTCACACAATGGTTCAAACAATATCAATAGACAGCTGAAACAGCATCTTATCAATTTATTAATTCTAAACAAGTATTTAACAAAGTTTAGTTTAATAAATAATAATAATTTGTCAACACTTACAAAGGATAAGCTCCCAACGACATATGACATTATAATCTTGGCATGTGCGTCTCTCTCTCATTCCTATATTGTGAAAAATAAAATTGTTCATGCAAATAAGACAGAGCAAAAAGTAGTTATTTTAACAGCCCGAATATCAATGTTAATAGTCTGTATACAAGCAAAATAATAACATATAACGTGAGACCAAATACTCAATGATAGAAATAAACCAAAATCAAACTAAATACATTTGACTATTTAGATCCAAAAATACAAAATTCATACCTATCATAGAATCTATCTCACAGCCTAACCGGAAAGAGAATGAAGAGCTACATAAAATCAGCTGTTTATATACCGTACATACGCAGTTGTAAGGCGCCCCGTCTTATAAGACGCATCCCCTACTTCAGGCTCGTGATTTGGGGATTTTTATGAAGACCCTCATATAAGACGCAGTCATATTTTGGCCGTGCAAAAATTGCCGACAATTAGCCGGATTTTGACTAAGTGCAAACTCAAATTTTGAAAATGTTACAGAATTGTAATAAAATTATTCCTAGACAGTAGCGTGGATGTTGTCTAGACTGACGAATTACTTAAGCAGAGTCATGTAGACGTGTCTAAAATTCATTTTTGTTTACCATTTTTAACGACGGATATTGCTAGATATTTCAGGTCCGAATGCATAATGGACGACGGATGTAAACACAACAGCTTATTCATTAGCACAAATATGTTTCTGCTGCTCCTAAAGTGTATTTGAGACCAATTCATGACAGACGTATATTAACGGTATATTGGGCTAATATTTTTATGAAGTTGATATAATGTATAAATAAAAATTCAATGCTGTCTTTGTCTTTATTGTTAGGAACATTGATCCAATGTCAATCAAACTTTGAACTGCCCAAAAGTGTTTCAAACCAATAGAAAGTCATATTTTTGCCGAGCAAAATCGGCCGAAAATTTGCGCTATAATTTATTCACAGACTAATGACCCTCCAATAATAACCAATGAAATTTAAGTGTAAATAATAATCCTATAATTTATTCACAGATTATTGTCCCATCTCCATTAAGGAAGGGTGCGAAAAATTGGCCGCTGCTTTCAATCATCAAAGTCTAGTTTTATGACAATTAACAACGTGTAGTGTAACGCCAATTAACAGTGTCTATTGAAAATGCCCCTCTCCATGCAATTAACGCTAGATTGTTTATCAATGTATGAAGAGTGGCAAAATATTTTTGATTGGGAGTAATTTTCTTAAAGCATGCAAATGTTTCGTAAAAAGCACAATAAATACCTTCTATAAATACATTCTCCTTAGAAATGATACAGAAACTGAAGTATAAATCTTAATTTTTATTATCCATTTTTTATAATTATCCATTTTGAAACTTTTTCAAACAAATTACTCAAATCTTTTTAACATTGTACCAAAGACAATTAATTAAAGACAATGGAACTGGATGAACCAGAAAGTTTTTGTGAAAATCAAATCTCGCTGATGTGACCTAATTTTCCTACATGAAACTACAGGTTCTATACGACAAAATGGCAAACAATTTTAAGTTGCATTTTTTTTTTATGTAACAGAGTTTTATGAAAACTAAAGTGTCAAGTTATCATCGTATATCTGTAATTACTCTCTTTCTAAAAAAATCAATATCAACTGCGGTCGACGTGACCTTTCCAGGTGTTATGAGGTTCATTTTCCGAAAAATCTGTAAATAGCATCTTTGTTATTCAACACATATGATGACCTAAAAAAGGATTATTGTTTAGGTTTGTTCTTTTTAATTGTGTTTCATAATGGAATAAGTGGACTTAGCTTGAGGCTAAGTTCGTAGGGGCAGGTAGGTACATTTTTCCTCCATATTAAAGAAGGGACATATTCAGGGTTGTCATTAAGAGGCGGCAGGAGGCCAAAATGCCTGTCTCAAATGCATTATGGGCCGCCTCAAAATTAAGAAAACACTCTTTGTTATGCATGATAAAGACAGAAATGACCGCCTCAATTTCAAAACAAACCTTCTGCAAAAAATGTTAATGACAACCCTGCATATTAATTTTTGAAAACTTTAAGCCAGATAAATTTTAGTAAAAGTTTTTATCATTAGTGCAAACTTTTACTATTTTTTTTCCATGTATGTAACACTAAAATTACACAATGCATTGATTTCCACCCATATGGTATTGAGACATTCAATTTGGAATTATGCATCACCAAGCGTAGATGGTGAGTGATTGCTGGAATGACCAGCTACGATCTAAAAATTCACCAGGTGCATAATTTCTTCAGACACCACTCAGTAGACTGCACTTATAAGACAAGGTTATAACTTTTTGTCAAAATATTCATGACCAAAACTGCGTCTTACAACTGCGTATGTACGGTAGATTTGGCAAGGCCGTCGTCGATGGTCCGGCCGGTCCGGCCTTGGCCGGACCAATATTTTGGCCAAAAATGAGTAAAAAAAAAACCAAAAAAAAAAAAACCGCACCGCTGATTAGCAATTTGACACTTAACTGGCCGCGCGGTAATATACAAACATGACGCGAAGAAACAACTGAACACAATTGACCAGGTATATGTAGTCAAGTTCGATTACGTTTTCGGTGTAATGCTCGCACTACATCCTAGCATTGACAGACAACATCAGCAAATCTCCTCAACAAGTTTTATTGTCAGCATCCGAGGGCCAGCGGCTAGCAAAGCGGACTCTTTGATTGATATGAAATCAGACGACAGTTCTGATTCTTTATTGATTAAACTTCAAAGTGAGAGTGATCTCGTCGATGTTAACGATCCAAATGTTCCGCGGAAGAGAAAGGCGCCAACACGATTCGAGATGGGGCACGGTGTTGGCAACCACCGACATGTACCGGCCTAAGTACTTTGAAGCAATCGATCTTGCCATCGCCAGTGTTAAAGAGAGATTTGACCAACCGGGATATCGTGTACTTTAAAACGTGGAGAATTTACATATAAGGCAGACCTAGTTCACTAGAGAACTTGGTTTGTTTGTGATTTCTGTTGTAACAATATTAACCGAGACATCTTAGATGTGCAGCTTCAGCTGCTACGTTCACATTTTGACAAATCAGAAAATAGTACTGTTACTCTACCTGACATTTTGAAATTTGCGTTGTGTTGTTAAAGATTTTGTTAGTAATGTCTGCTACTAATGCTACCAGTGAAAGGTCATTCTCGGCGTTCAGAAGGATTAAGACATACCTGAGATCGAAAATGTCTCAAGTACGCTTGAACAATCTAATGGTGTTACATATTCATAAGTACAGGACATAGTCACTCAACTTACGTGTAATTGCCGATGAGTCCATTACTACCAGAGAACGACGGCAATGTGTTTTTGGAAAATTTACATAAAATGAGACTCTGTATTGTGTAAGATTATTGTTAACAAAATACAAGTTACTGCTAAACAAAAAGTGGTTATTGTTGACTCGTAATGTACTATTCTTCCATCATTGTTATTTAAGCTTATACCATTGTGTGATTTATGCTAAACAATAATCCACGTACTGTAATATTTCTTTTATTTGTTTATTTATAATCATCAGATAAAAATGCATCCAAAGAATTAAAATTACATCAGTTATTTTTAATTTTTCATTTGCCAAACATCAATTACATGTATTCATTTTTTATGTACATCTGTCCGTCCGTCATGCGAACCTTAAATTTCACCCTTAAAACTTACGACGCACTTAAATCTGTAAAAAATTGTTGACATATTAGTATAACATGTACTAGCGGCAGGCTGTAAACTGTGCCAAATATACGGGAAAACGCCCCTGAGAGCATCCTAGAATAAAAAATTTTCCGGGGGAGCATGCCCCCGTACCCCCCTAGATTCTACCTAAAACCACTCAAATTGGCCGCACCAATCACAAAATCGTGACGACGGGCCTGTTTGGTGATGCGGTAAAGCACCACCAAATAAACAGCGCCACAAAAATTTTAGCAATTTCCTGTTAAACTTTAGTAATTTGTCATTTTTTTGTTGAAAATATTTCTGGATAACTTGTGACACCCTGACTTTTTGTACTCTGGCAATGTAAAATAACTTTCTCAAACTTATTTAAATTTTTCACTTTATTGAGTTTGTGTGTTTAGCTATTTCTTCAAATTTTAGTATGAAGGCATTAACAACAGAATGATGATTTAATCTTGTTCCTACATTTTTATTATTTTTATTAAGTGAAACACAAATTGCTGAAAAAACAATATATGATGAACATTACACTTTCAGGGTATACAAAGATTATCAAATCTTGAAGCACCCATTATGTTGCTCACTGGACACGAAGGGGATATATTCTGCTGTAAATTTTCCCCAGATGGAAAGATGTTAGCCTCTGCAGGGTTTGACCGCTTGATTTGTAAGTATTTCATCAGAACGCCAGTAAAAATTACTTACTGGCTTTAACCCATATTTTAACCTTAACATTGTAATACTGAAAATACAAACTTCCACTTTTGCAACATCTATACTTAATGAAAGGGATATCTAAGATGTTGAACTTTGGGAGCTGGTAATGCTTGTTCTGTTTGTCAAAGAATTTTGCAGTTATGGTTTCAACATTGTTGGAGATAAAAAAAACAATCTTCTCAGGAGATAACTCAGGAACATTACTTCTGTATAAAATATTGTATTTGTGAAAGTGCAATCGAGTCCACTGAGGGATTCTTGTTGTCCAATTTTAGGACTGATAATGGGTCTAACTCCAATTTCAAATGGAAAAACAACACAACTGAAGAAAAAAAGTTATTGGCATTTTGTGATATTTTAATTGCCTGGCTTTGTTTCAGCAGATTGTATTTTTGCAATCTAAATTTTAAATTGTGCTTTACCTATAAATAAAATGTAAATGGAGAAGACTTGACTTCTTTCTTTTATTTGATAAATGTAAATTAAACAAAAAAGTTTCCAAAAGGATAAGATATACCTGGTACCCGATAAAAGTACACAATATAATTTTAAAAATGAAAATGTTAAAATCTGTTCAAATTTAAGGCATGGGCTACATGAATGTTTACTGTTATGCCAAATTTATTCTATACCTGAAATCACATGATTATCTTTCATATTTAAATCATGTACATGTACATCATATATATATTTAAAATATATAATATTTTTTATTAAAAGATTTCTGGAATGTGTATGGTGATTGTGAGAACTTTGCTGTATTAAAAGGACACTCTGGTGCAATAATGGAAATACAATTCTCAACTGATGGAAGGTAATTTTGTTTAATAGTTTGTTTGTGTATGAAAAGTTCTTTCATATATAATTGGGGTAGAAACTACCAGAGAAACTTGTTTGAGTATTGACCATTGTAGTATTTTGTTTCTTAGAAGGTTATTTTCTACATGTTTTTGTTGTTGTTGTTGGGGTTTTTTTTGTATTGTTTTATAAAACACTTTTAATATGTTTATTTTGGGAATATCATAAAGATTCAACGCCTATCTCAATATCTGAAAAAAATAGTGATCAAAGGATTGCTGGGTGTGTGGGTTCAAACCATGTCGGTGGCAAACCATTGTTTTCTTGAGCAAGAAACTACACTTATTGCTTAGTACTGGTTGGTTCCAGGAACTGATTCGAGAGTGTTTCAATAAGCTTATAGCTTCCAACACAAAGTAAAATTCTTATAAACCAATATCTTAGAAAGAACATACATAATCTTAATTATGTTTTCTATTCATATGGTATATGTGACTTAAGACATATTAATCTTAAACAAAAACATACAAAAATATGCAATGATAATTATATCATTTCAGTTCATTAGTATCAGCAGCCACAGACAAGACATTATCATTGTGGGACGTGGATGTTGGGACAAGGGTAAAGAAGTTCAAAGGTCATAATAGTTTTGTAAACTGTTGTAATATAGCAAGGCGTGGCCCACAGTTGGTGTGTAGTGGAAGTGATGATGGAACTATAAAGGTATCTAACTTGTTTAAGGCATAGTGTTTAGATTTTTCTTTGAAATATACAAAAAAAAGAGAATATATATTTTTGTAATTTGCCTAAAAGTTGATCAGTCAAAAGAGTAAAAAATGTGTACAATTTTTCAGGCATTTCAGTCCAGGTTTTGTATACTCCTGAAAGCTCTCTTTTTGTATATATAAACCAGTTGAAATAATACTAAATTCAGGGGTTTCAAGTGTTCTGATAATTTTAACTTGTACCCTTGCTTAAGCTTTTGGCTATTTGAAAGAATGGAAACCAAACTTGCAAGTATGGACTTTGAACAGATGCTGTTTTTGTTGTCTTTTACACTTACATAATTTTATGAAACATCGAAATGTCAGTTTAATCAGTAAACAAACTTTAAATCAAAACTTTTTTTGTTTGTTACATCATATTAATAATGTATTGTCTTTTATGAATATGTTTTAAACTTAACAAATAAATAAATTTTTTACTTTAATCCAGTATGCCTCCATATTCATGCTAATTTTCTTGAAAATTATGAAAATGTATTTAAAAAATAAAACATTATGAAGGGAATAAAGAAAGTAATTTAATCATTGCAAACGGCACCGGTCTACAATTCACATAATTTACGAAAGTTAATGAAACTATGCAAAATTGGCCCTTACTGCTTCAGTCACACTGTAGAAATTTAGTGATATATTCTGCAAAATCAGTCATTAAGTGCACACATTGACATAACATGTAAATAATTACTTGAATCTTGAATGTTTTTACTTTTCTTAAAATCTAAGTACGTTTTTCTGAAGTTTGATTTTCTTGAAATCTCTTCTTCATCCAGAACCATGCAACTTTAATACACACATGAATTTATTGATTAAACAATTGTTTGTAGTTATGGGATTGTCGGAAGAGAGGAGTGTTACAGTCATTTCAAAACACATACCAGGTCACTTCCATCACGTTCTCCGATACAGCTGAACAAATCTTCTCCGGTGGCATAGATAATGATTTAAAGGTAAGATTTTGTAGTATAATTTACGTAATTATTGTATTGCAGACCTTCCATTATAGACCAATTCACTTTAAATATAAAAATTTATCATTATGAATTTATACTCTAATGTATGTTTGATAGAAAAGAATAAGTTAAAGCCATTAACACGCAATGTATAATCTTTTTTCGAGTGAGACTTTAAAAAGTGCTGGAGCACCACACTAAATACCGTATGCCGGTATATACTGGACAAGGTGCTTGAATGATTAAATGCTAAAATCTCGCCTTTTCACACAAGGGCATCAAATTTAAATGTTTAATTCATCTCTTCACACTGATATATATATGATAATGAAATGAAAAATGTAAGAATCTGCGAAAAATCCATTATTTGTCTATTTTGTGATCATAATTTCTGTAAGCATCTAGAGTTACTATTCCAACACTGTAAGTAAATTCCTCTTTATTCAGGTTTGGGATTTACGGAAGAATGATGTATTATACAGAATGCGAGGGCACTCGGACACGGTTACAGGAATGCATCTCTCGCCAGATGGGTCTTATTTACTAACAAACAGCATGGACAATACAGGTATGCAATTTATATCCTTAAATTTTCTTATATCTATATATAGATAGTTTCCACAGTTTTCACAGCCATACTAGTCATGAAATGCTTGTCTTGTAAAATCTGACAGCAAGTGGTTATACACCACTAAATTTGCTCAGATTCATTGATTTATAACTTGTAATGAATGTATGAAAAATATTTCTTTGATGTAATTTACAAGCTAGATTATCATATGTTTGTATTTATATTTTAGTGCGTATTTGGGATGTACGACCATTTGCTCCACAAGAAAGGTGTGTTAAGATTATGCAGGGACATCAACATACGTTTGAAAAGGTAAATTAGACTAACAATATTATATTATATTGGAACATATATTTATATATGATCACATAAGAGGCAGGTGTGCATGTTTATGGCAGCTGTAGAACATATTTGATTTTAATTGGGGAAAAAAGAGTTTAGTTTTATTTAGGGATTTCGTCCTGGTTATAATGCAAAAATGTGCTGTTTAACTTAATGTTGTTGAAATGAATGAAAAAAGAAATCGGACATCAATTCAAATGAACACATATTTGAGTTTTGTTGATCACTTTGTTTCCAGATTTTTATGCTTCACAACAACAGGTGTCAAGTGCTGTGTGGCAGCTGTAAAAAGTTGCCCCGTACTTCACTTCAGTGTTGTTATATTTTTCTGGTCCTTCGGGATCATTGATGCCAGCACTATTAAGTGTTGAGAATAGAGTACCGCTCAAGCCGGTTCTAGGGGGCGTGAGGGATGTTGCACTTATTCATTATCCCTCATGTACAGACTCAACCAAACCGAGTCTGCTATTTTCATATAATTTTGTTGTGATTAATGCTTCCGAGGGATCACTTTGTTTCCAGATTTTTGTTTGTTACTTATTTGAAATGCAATTTTAAAGTTGCATTGCTAAAATAACGCAATAATAGAATGTAAATTTACCTCGCGCCATTGGTACATTGTAAAATGAATAAAAAAAATAAACAGAACTAGGCTTCAGCATAAATTTGTAACTGAGAGTTTTCCACTTTAAAAAAAGGGCCAAGCACATTACAGAAAAGTCAATTTGCAAAGTGTAAATTGTCGGGAACAGACACTAAAATTTAATTGGATTTTTTTTCAGAATCTTTTACGATGTGCATGGGCACCTGATGGCAGTAAGGTCGCAGCAGGGTCTGGTGATAGATTTGTATATATCTGGGACACGACGTCCAGGAGAATATTATATAAACTCCCAGGACATGCAGGATCTGTAAACGAAATTGACTTCCATCCAGAAGAACCAATAAGTGAGTTTTTTTCTTATTTTATCTATAAAATTTTGAGAAGCACTCTTTGTCACCTTAGTGCAATAACTGGCTTAATCCTTTTAAATTTAGAAGTGCTTAACCCGTTACTGCACTAAGATGAATCTTGTACGTACCGTTACCAGATTTTTTATGAGGAAACATTGTCTTTACCTTCTTCAAGTATGAGGAACATTTTTCTTGCCACTATAACTTTAAGGGGCCACATAGATTTGCTTTGTCTGTCTGTCTGTCTGTCTTACAGGCTGTCCATCACTATACTCGTACAAATCAGTTAGCCTCGTGTTTTGATGCTCTTTCTATTACTTGGACTCAATGTCCAAGATCAGTTGTCACAAAGAAATTTTCACCTTGCCAAGGATCGAACCAACAATCCCTTAAAATTATAAATTTGATGATCTCCCGTTTGAGCTAAGATTTTGGTTTTGGGTGCTCCAACACAATTTAGGTCATATGGCACCAAAACAAGAATGATGATTTTGGCTAACCTTGGGTGTTACAAATTTAAAGCAATACCAGGGGTCAAAACTACCCCACCTGCTTGAACTAAGAGATGCATAAACTCTAATTTGATCCCATTAAGTTGCCTCTTACCATCACAGAGGGATAAACAATTCAGATGCCTCAATCGTCAAAGGCAACCCCCTCAGCCGCAAGGGGATTGAGGTAAGATGATAACTGTAAAATATATGAAGATTGATGAAGTGGTTAACTAATGTTCTGTTTTATTTTATGTCATTTCAGTTGCATCTTGTGGCAGTGACAAAAAGATATATCTTGGTGAAATAGAATGAGACATGCACACAAAAAATGGAAAAACGACTGTTGTTATATTTCGAGAAATGTTACAAAAAGTATAAAATACATATTGAGGGCATCTTATGACAAAAGACAATGGTCTAAGGGCACTTATATGAAATATAATCAATGCTCAATAACTATTGTGGTCTGAGAGTGTCTCTACAATGTGTATTTTTTTGTGACATGAGCTGGGTTGTAACATTGAAAATAACAATGCTCCAAGGAAGATATGTCCCAATATAGAACTGGCAGCTGTATTGAAAATTCCTGTAATTTGTAAAAATGACTTTTTTTTTTGTTAAGATAGTTCATGTGAAAGGAGGTGTAGTTTTTTGTTGAGATAGTTAATGTGAACGGAGCTCTTTACCATTACTTTCCTTGATCATTTTTCAGAATACTGTGAATTCACTAAATTTTGTGGGCATGAAATTTCGGGATTTTTTGTTACAAAGAACATTTTCATTGGTTCTTAAATTTGTTGAATGTTTATTTTTCTATAAGGTTAAATGTAAATAAAGTCATACAAAATGATCTTACAGCAGACAAAATGAAATTTTGTTGCATTTTAAATTTGTGGATTGACCTATCCACAAAAATAAGTGACCCACGAGTATTAATGATTTTACAGTTATTCTCATTTCACTAGACTGATTTCATGTTTGTATATGTTTAAAAAAATCACATGGAAACTCGTAAAAGTGATATGAAAATTGATTATGCATTTTACAGTAAACATCATTGAAGAATTCATTTACCATTCACAAAATTACTGTTTACAGATAGTTTCTGAAATCATTGAAAAATTCATTTACCATTTTCAGAAATGCCATTTAAAGAAATTGAAAAATTCATTTACCATTTTCAGAAATACCATATAACGAAATCATTGAAAAATTCATTTACCATTTTCAGAAATGCCATTTAAAGAAATCATTGAAAAATTCATTTACCATTTTCAGAAATACCATATAACGAAATCATTGAAAAATTCATTTACCATTTTCAGAAATGCCATTTAAAGAAATAATTGAAAAATTCATTTACCATTTTCAGAAATACCATATATAGAAATCATTGAAAAATTTATTTTCTATTTTCAGAAATAATTGACAAATTCATTTACTGTTTTATAGAATATCATTGAAAAATTCATTAAGCATTTACAGAAGTCATTGACAAATTCATTGAATGTCTGAAAATTCATTTACAATTGAAATTTATTTATAATAAGTTAGGGGTTATTCTAAATAATAATATAGATAATTTTTTGTCCTGTACATGCATTGAAGTTATTGTCATACTTTTATCATGATATCATTGTGATATATTTGTGAATTTTACATATATGAGTACATATAAAAAGGTATGAAACAGAGAGATATTTGTTATTCTTTTGTTTTTCACCTCTGTATTTGAAGTATGGAGGTGTCCAGTTAGCTTATGGACTGTCCAGACTACTATATGAATACTAACTGGACTACTATACAAATACTAACTGGACTACTATGCAAATACTAACTGGACTACTATACAAATACTAACTGGACTACTATACAAATACTAACTGGACTACTTTACAAATACTGGACTACAATACAAATACTAACTGGACTACTCTACAAATACTAACTGGACTACTATACAAATACTAACTGGACTACTATACAAACACTTACTGGACTACTATACAAACACTTACTGGACTACTATACAAATACTAACTGGACTACTATACAAACACTTACTGGACTACTATACAAATACTAACTGGACTACTATACAAACACTTACTGGACTACTATACAAATACTTACTGGACTACTATACAAATACTTACTGGACTACTATACAAACACTTACTGGACTACTATACAAATACTTACTGGACTACTATACAAATACTTACTGGACTACTATACAAACACTTACTGGACTACTATACAAACACTTACTGGACTACTATACAAATACTAACCGCACTACTATACAAACACTTACTGGACAACTATACAAATACTAACTGGACTACTATACAAATACTTACTGGATTACTATACAAATACTAACTGGACTACTATACAAACACTTACTGGACAACTATACAAATACTAACTGGACTACTATACAAATACTTACTGGACTAACTATACAAACACTTACTGGACTACTATACAAATACTAACTGGACTACTATACAAACACTTACTGGACTACTATACAAACACTTACTGGACTACTATACAAATACTAACTGGACGACTATACAAATACTAACTGGACTACTATACAAACACTTACTTGACTACTATACAACTACTAACTGGACTACTATACAAACACTTACTGGACTACAATACAAATACTAACTGGACTACTATGCAAATACTAACTGGACTACTCTACAAATACTAACTGGACTACTATACAAATACTAACTGGACTACTATATAAATACTACCTGGACTACTATACAAATACTGGACTACTAAACAAATATTAACTGGTCCACTATACAAATACTAACTGGACTACAATACAAATACTAACTGGACTACTATACAAATACTGGACTACAATACAAATACTAACTGGACTACTATACAAATATTAACTGGTCTACTATACAAATACTAACTGGACTACAATACAAATACTTACTGGACTACTATACAAATACTTACTGGACTACTCTTCAAATACTAACTGGACTACTATACAAATACTAACTGGAATACTATACAAATACTTACTGGACTACTATACAAACACTTACTGGACTACTATACAAATACTTACTGGACTACTATACAAACACTAACTGGACTACTATACAAATACTAACTGGACTACTATACAAACACTTACTGGACTACAATACAAATACTTACTGGACTACTATACAAATACTAACTGGACTACTATACAAATACTTACTGGACTACTATACAAATACTTACTGGACTACAATACAAATACTTACTGGACTACTATACAAATACTAACTGGACTACTATACAAATACTTACTGGACTACTATACAAATACTAACTTGACTACTATACAAATACTTACTGGACTACTCTACAAATACTTACTGGACTACTCTACAAATACTTACTGGACTACTATACAAATACTTACTGGACTACTATACAAATACTAACTGGACTACTATACAAATACTTACTGGACTACTATACAAATACTTACTGGACTACTATACAAACACTTACTGGACTACTATACAAATACTTACTGGACTACTATACAAACACTAACTGGACTACTATGCAAATACTAACTGGACTACTATACAAACACTTACTGGACTACAATACAAATACTTACTGGACACTATATACAAATACTAACTGGACTACTATACAAATACTTACTGGACTACTATACAAATACTTACTGGACTACTATACAAACACTAACTGGACTACTATACAAATACTTACTGGACTACTATACAAACACTAACTGGACTACTATACAAATACGAACTGGTCTACTATACAAATACTAACTGGATTACTATACAAATACTAACTGGACTACTATACAAATACTGGACTACTATGCAAATACTAACTGGACTACTATACAAATACTAACTGGACTACTATACAAATACTAACTGGACTACTATACAAATACTAACTGGACTACTATACAAATACTTACTGGACTACAATACAAATACTTACTGGACTACTATACAAATACTAACTGGACTACTATACAAATATTAACTGGTCTACTATACAAATACTAACTGGACTACTTAACAAATACTTACTGGACTACTTTACAAATACTAACTGGACTACTATACAAATACTAATTGGACTACTATACAAATACTAACTGAACTACTATACAAATACTAACTGGACTACTCTACAAATACTAACTGGACTACAATACAAATACTAACTGGACTACTATACAAATACTGGACTACTATACAAATACTGGTCAACTATACAAATATTAACTGGTCTACTATACAAATACTAACTGGACTACTATACAAATACTGGACTTCTATGCAAATACTAATTAGGCTACTATACAAATATTACTTGGACTACTTTATGAATTTGTAGTAGGAATCAAGTAGGAAAGGCTAGGCCCATCACACAAAATCAACAGGGCCTGGATTTAGCTACACATATAAGCCACAACCATATTTCTTTTTTTTCTAGTTTTAATTCAACAAATATAAGAATGTTTATAGTAAAATATCTGATATGTAAATTTAAAATACAAACAAAAACAAGCAACAAATATAGAATAAAGATACATGTATCTGTTTAGTAAATACAGAGAGGTTGTGAGTTTATTTGGTTTAGAGATTATTTTTGCATGAAATTAATCTCTACATAAAAGTTGATATTTCATTAAAATTTTGATGATATGTATTTATTATTAAAAAAGAGTGATGTAGTACATTTCTTTGAAAAACTTTGAAAAAAGAGATTTGATTAGAAAGTTAAACATGAACCAATCTCTCGGAAAATTCAATCAGCTACATATAAAATATATTTAACCCTTAAATTTTCCATAAATGATAAAGATTTGGTTTTTTTGTTTGTTTGTTCATGTTTTTTTTGTTTGTTCAGTTCTATGGCGTACCAACACAGTATATGTGATATGGCGTTGTAACAGGAAAGATATGATTTTGGCTAATCTCGGGAGAAATAAACATCAAAGCAACACCACTGGCCAAAACCATCTTAAGTCTATACTTTCTTCATAACACAACATTTTGGCTCAGGATAAAGTAAAAATGTTCATTATGAATGCAGCAGTTTATAGCAGATGTTAACGTAACTCAACAAAAGAGCCTAAAACATAAAATTTGACATTCTTACATATATCATGTGAAACACTTAAATTGGAAAACTCGGTGGAGAATAGATAAAAAAGAAATAGACTCAAAATTACATTGAATATTGATTTTTGTGCTCTTAGTCTATTTGAGTGGAAAGCTTTTCATTTTTGGGTCTTTTTGCACAATACAAATTGTTATCCTGGAAAAAATCATGGTGAAGGAATTATCTGAATATTTGCACACAAGTTACTAGTCCAGACCTACATCAAATGATACAAAAATCTCGGAAAAATATTTCCAGTCCCATCATGTCCAAAAAACCTAAGTGGGGTCGGTCCATTTAAAGCATTGGAAAGTATGGCAAATTGAGGACAAGAAATCAGAACATCATAATACAACATTACTGGTTACATTTTAACTGGTACAAGATTTAAAGACAATAAAATACAGGTTCTATATGGAGTAAATAACAACATTAACAATTCACCAGGAAATTTCAATAAAATGTAAAATCTGTTTTACCAGAAGCTTATTCTTTTTTAAGTTTCACATCACAAAACTTAAGAAAAATCAATTATTATAGTAAAGAACCTACAGCAGAGAATGTGAGTTAATAGTTAAATTGTAAATTTAGGTTTATGTAATAATTTTAAAGTTATTTTAAGCATAACTACAGAATCATCATTCTAAAAGTTAACTTTTTTATCTAACTAATTAAGTATAAATAAGAAAAGAAACAAAAACATTATGTATTTTGACAATGAATTAGTAAGAGACTCATTCTTAGACACAACAGATCTACGGTAATTCCAGAAGTTAAAAAAACTTTAACTGGATACCAGTCACAATTTTAAGCATCCAAATCATCAGATTGGATAATTCTGAATATTTAATTCAAATTAACCAATCAATTCATTCGGTTGAAGGACTGGTTTCAAAAGTTACCAGTAAAACCCAAAGGACAACAGGAAAGACAAAAGAATACAGAAGGCACAGAGGTTGAGTATTGAGAAATAATCATTCATATTTTTCCATCTCTTAAAGATATACTATGCTCAAATTTGATATTACAAAATGTTACATTGTATTTTTGTAAATGTAAATATAAAAATATCAATAGGGAACACAGATTTCCATACATACCAGTAGTTTATTCATTCTTTTATTAAAATTAAACATTTCATAGATTTTAATAAATTTCCAGGAATAATAATACATGTATTTTAATCAAGGATGAGCACAGTATATCTTTAATATCTTAACCATTCAAACCATATTAATCTACCAATACTTACACATTAATACGGTACATTGAAGCCTAAGTCATGAATATTTCTGATTTGAAATATAAAATGAAGGTAGAACAATATATACACACTTTACTTATGTAAATACTCTTTGAATAGTATTCCTTGATACATGTGAAGTGGTTAATAAAAGAAATATAAAGCACTGCAGTTATATAACAAGAATTTAAGCAATCTAAGAAATACTATACATGTATTAGTTTTCAAAACTTTAGAAAATTTATGTAAGAATGCAACTGTATGCAGAGCATCTATAAGCAGAATTAAAAAAAAAAAAAAAAAAAAAGAAAAAAAAATCATGTTAGCATATTGATACATTGCACATTTCTATCCTGTCATTTTCTTAAACAAATTTTTGGTCAGCAATAACATATATTTGTTCTATGAATAAATTTTGTTTTACCAAAATACGCAAAAATATTAACATGACATATAGTTGAATTTTAAAATGGGAAAAACTATATAAGTGAAATTTTACTTCAAAAAGGCTGGATGAAAAATAAACAATTTCTAATGGAGTGTTAATTACCATTCATTTAAAATGTATTATACTGACCAGTTTGAATAATTAGCTTAAAGGCAGATTATGCCTCAGAAATGAATAAATATTTACTTCTTGAGAAAGGTCAAATATATATATTATAGCGTTTAATTAATGGTTATAGAACATGTTTAATGCTTGTTAACTGAAAAATAGCGCAAAATGTAAAAATACAGAATAAAGTGTGTCATAAAAGCAACAAAAGTTAAACAAAACAGTATTTTGACTTCCATACAAATACTTAATCACTATAAATGTACTTATTACCAAAAAAGCAACAGAATAAGAATACAGTTCATGTAATTGGCCATTGAGTACCTTGTTGAAAATTATAAAAGAATATCAAAAATAAAAAGATTTTGAAAAATAAAATGAATGCATTTCTGAGGCAAAATGGGCCTTTAAGGTTAATTGGAGGATTATTACAATAAGCAAATCACCTTATTAATATTATTATTTTCTAAAGTATATGATGTAACAGTAGAAAACACCCATTTTTTGGTGCCAAAATGCACTAAAAACATGCTTGATAACAAATACGGTACATGTACTGTCAAATGAAGATGAGAGTGGCCTCGGTTTAATTAACAGAAGTTTATTAAGATATTGACCAATCTATTAGGGTTCATAATCCGTTAAAGGACCACAATTAAACATTAACATAACACCATTACATACTTGTTATCATTTAGAAAATATCATTTCCCACTGACTATAAGGTTCAGATTGAGTATTTCCACAAACTAGCAAGAATGGCAAAACAAACAATCGTAACTTTGTCAAAGAATTACTAGCAAGAATGGCAAACACAAACAATTGTCACTCTGTCGAAGAATTAAAATAACAATTCTAGCACAACATTTCTCATAGCCTGACGTACATGTAAACATGACAAGAAAAACAAAACATACAGACAAATTAACAACAAATACATTCTCTCAGACCTCTGATTGACAAAAATAAAGTACCAGAGGTTAAAGGTCATAGACCTTTTTTTTTTATTATTCTATCTCCCACCCTTTCAAACTCCCATGTTCCCTCTTCACCCCACCCTTATTCACAGTCTATGAGCAGACGGTCAAAAGGTAAACAACCTAAGAGTAAAATGCCCATGACTCTATTTCAATTAGTTTAAATCTAACTATAATTGGTTTGTCTAGGTAACATGTTCATCTTGACTCGATAGCGGCCCTTTAAAGGCGTCTTTCGTTTCCGGTAAAGGTTTCTGTTCTTGGTCATGTTCAGCTTTGGACTGTTTGTCAACTTTGGCTTGTTTCAGGCACTGTTTGGCCGGCTCAAAATCAGGTTCTATACTCAAGGCTTCCTTCAGGTCGGATATAGCTTCCTCAAATCTACCTGTAACATTAATTAGACTTGTTACTAAATTTATATCAATAATTGGAAATAGTTGACTATTAAAATTATATACATGTACATGTATAAATTTGGATTTAACTCAATACAGGATTGGAGCAGTACCTCTAGGCGCTTGCAGAAATCATGATCACAAATTAGATCAATATTGTTTTTTTGCCGATTTTTACATTTTCCATTCATTATCATACATAAATCGGTGTGAAAAGGAGAATTAGACCTGTTAAAGTTCATTCCGTTGGGTAAAAAGGCAAGATTTTAGCATTTATCATTCAAGCGCCTTGTCCGGTATGTACCGGAATACGGTATTTAGTGTGGTGCTCCAATTCTTTTTTTAGTCTCACTCATAAGTTTTTTCTAAAATAATTTTATTCATTTTTTACAAAATAAACTTATCTAAAGAGAAATTATGTCACTGTGATAGACATATAAACTGTTTGAACTAATTTAGTAGCAAGAGTGTTACTTCTTAACAAGACCTATTCGTCAACAGAGCATTCTACTTTTCACAGTGCTGGATAGAAACTAAAGTATGTCAATCAAACTTTTAAACCTACTATAAGAACCACTAACAGTTATTTCTCTTGAAATGGTATAATTAACTTTTGTATCCATCACACTTTTATTTAACAAAATAAATTCCTAAAAATCTTCTGTACTTAGTTGCTCTATTGGTTTCTGTTTGCAAGTGTCGACATACTGATAAAATACAGTGTTTCATTACCAAGCCTATAGTGTATAAGGCCCCTGTTATAGTAGGTAAAATAGAGGCTGCTATCATATGACAAGGCTTTGCTATAATCTGCTATGGCTTCATCAAAGTCGACCTTCTGATACTTCATAAAACCTCGTTCATTGTAACCTATAGCAATCTGCTTACACCTAAAATATTATTAAACAATGCATTATTATCATACATATGTATAATTTCATTTTTCATTGACTTTTAAAGACATGTGTAATGTTTTTTTAATTAGAATAGTCTACATACAATGTGATAAAATTATTATCCAATTTTCTGAATAAAATGACTAAGCCTAATTGTTTTTCAACAACCAACTGAAATTACAAACTATTTCATATAAGAGATCAGCGATAATTTAAAAGCATTTTGAATTATTTATTGTCCAAGACGATTGCATTATTTCAAATGAAATATAAAATTGTCAAAAACATTTACTTTGTGGAAACTGCTAGTAAATTGACACCCAAGATCTTTTGATGCGTGTTAAATGCACAGGTGAAAAGGCATTCATGACCTATAGGTATTCATTAAGTGATGAGTGAAGATATTTTAAGGCCAGATAAAAAAATCAATGCCGCTCAAAGATTTTCTGATTTAGCCATTTTTCCTCAGAGACACTTCATCCCTCACAACACTTCATCACCCTAGTCCAATATATCAGATGTTACAGGACTTATTATAGTTTTATGTCGGTCAAGAAGCAGAAATAACTCAAAGTCACGTTTATATTAATAGGACTATTCATCACCCAAAAATCACTTCATCCCTCAACGTATCATTTGTATGGAGCCAACGTTTTGAGAGGTGAACTGGTCTGTAAATCGTTTACATACATGTAGCTTAGCAAGAATTTTCCATCTAATTCTATTTGACTGCTGCCTTTACAAAATAATCAGCAAATGATAATTATATAATGATTTTTTCCAGTCAAGACGTAAAATCTGATATAATTTCAAATCATGGTAAAAATTCTATTTTGGGAAAGGGAAAAAATTGAGGTTTAGAAATGAGAAAAGAGAAAAATTTTAAACCCGCCACATAAAAAAATTCCCCAGGTCTTACAATTTTTTCCCTTTGAAAACGGGTTTTTTCCAATTTAAAATCAGGCATTTTCCCTTTTCAGAATGCAGTGGGGTGAAAGGGTTTCATTGCTTTTTTCCTTGTTTTTACCGGGGGGTACCAAAAAATTTTCCCCTTTTGCAAAAGAAAAAAAATTTTGGGGAAAATTTTTTGAGCGCATTACAACTTGTTGTCATTTTTTCGGACTGCCCTTTGTCCATCTGTTTTTTGTTACCCAAATGGCAATCTATGGGTGTAACACCCCCCAAAAAAAAAAAATAGTGCTTTTTCCACTTCTGAAAAGTTGTTTTTCCCCTAAATTTAAATATGGGTGGCGGGGGGTCAACGTGGGGGAAAGGGAAAAAAGGGGACCGGGGGTAAGAGTACACTTTCCATATTTAAGCCCCGCCTAATAAATAAAGCACGAATTTCTTATAAAGCGTTATCATCATGATTAAAATAGACTATAAATCTGTGGAAATGATCAGTGTTACTTTGTATGTAAGTGCATATGCTTAATCCTCCCAATAAAAAATTTATGGCCATATGTCCTAGAAAATGGAAACAGGCTTTAAACTTCAAGGACCATACAACTGTAGAATAATGGTTTTTCATTCATATGCCTAATAATTTAATCAGCCAGATGAACCCTATGTTAGGATATCAAAAGTAAGAATTATTTATAGGACCATCTGAATGCACTTGTACACAATGTATACTTATGTTCATTAAAAGAAATATATGAGTAATCACATTATAACAGGACCAAGAGATCATCTGCATGAACATATACTAGTTTTTATAGAAAAAGATGCATGAGAAGGTTAAATGTAAGATGAGGCAAGGGAATCATCTAGAATGTAAATATACATTAGTATGTTGATGGAATTATATATAAGAAAGAGTCATCTTGGTTTTAAGGTGTATAAACACTGTAGTTCTTAAAGAACATATGTGAGGGAAATACATATAAAACATTTTTATTATGGAACAGATATAAGGGTAACTCGTAAGATGCCCAGGGAAATTAAATCTAGATGTACATATACTATAGTTTTCATGGAACAGAAAAAGGGGGATCACGTAAGATTACAAAGATCATCTGGGATGTACATAAACTTTTTTTTTCATTACATATCAGATGTAAGGCGGGAGTCAAATAAAATGACCAAGGGGATCATATAGTATGTACATTATACTTATATTTTCATTGAACAAGAAATAAGGGGATCACGTAAGATGACAATGGTATCATCTAGATGTACATATAACTATAGTATTTCATTGAAAAAGAAATAAGGGGATCACGTAAGATGACAATGGTATCATCTAGATGTAATATACTGTAGTATTCAATTGGAATAAGAAATAAGGGGAGGGAGGGATCACGTAAAGGTGACAAGGGGATCATCTAGATGTACATATACTATAGTATTCATTTAACAGAAGTAAGGGGATCACGTAAGGTGACAAGGGGATCATCTAGATGTACATATACTACCAGGAGATCATATAGATGTACATAACTCTTTTTTCCATTATGGAAAATATAATGAGGGGATCGCGTAAAAATGACAAGGGGTATCAATGTAGATGTACATTATACTATAGACTTCATTGAACAGAATAAAGGGATCACGTAAGATGACAATGGTATCTCATCTAGATGTACATAACTACTATAGCATTCATTGAAAAGAAAATAAAGGGGTCACGTAAGATGACAATTGGTATCAATCTACATGTAACATATATGAGGGGATCGCGTAAGATGACAATTTAGTATCATCTAGATGTACATATACAATGGTATTTTATTGAAACAGAAAAATAAAGGGATCACGTAAGGTGACAAGGGAATCATCTACATATACATAATACTACCAGGAGATCATATAGATGTACATACTCTTTTTTCCATTTTTGAACAGGCTATGAAGGGATCGCGTAAAAATGACAAGGGATCATGTAGAATGTAACATATTCTATTTATAGACTTCATTGAACCGAAATAAGGGGATCACGTAAAGATATAATTTTAGGTATCATCTAGATGTACATATACTATAAGCTATTCATTGAAACAGAAATAAGGGCGACCACGTAAGGTGACAAGGGGATCATCTAGATGTAACATATACTATAGTATTCATTGAACAGAAATAAGGGGGATCACGTAAGATGACAATGGTATCATCTAGATGTACATACTAGTATACTATAATAATCATTGAAACAGAAAATGAGGGGATCACGTAAGGTGACAAGGGGATCATCTAGATGTAAACATATACTATAGTATTCATTGAACAGAAATAAGGGGATCACGTAAGGTGACAAGGGGGATCATCTAGATGTACATATACTATAGTAATTCATTGAAAAGAAATAAGGGGATCACGTTAAAGATGACAATAGTATCATCTAGATGTACATATACAATAGTATCCATTAACGTAGTACATCAAGTGGACACCCTTTACACGTTGACTAGTATGTTCTCTTTTATATATCCATTTGATTCCCTTTTAAATGTTTGAAGGTAAATTCTGTGTTGTACATCTGTATACTATGATCCCCCTCGTCCATTTCTTTTTGATCCCCTCTTATATTTTATAGTATATTCTCCTTTGTACATTTCTGTCTGATCCCCTCGTCCATCCATTCGATCCCCTTTTATATTTTTGATAGTATATTTCTCAGTTGTACATCTATTTGATCCCAAGTACATCAAATTTTTTTCCTCTCTTGTATGCTTTTATTATAATTTGTTTTCTGTTGTAAATTTCATATGATCCCCTACTCCATCTAAATTGATCTCCTCTTTTAAATTTTTTTTGGAATAGAAATAATTCTCCGTTGTACATTCTGTATGATCTCCTTGTTTTTGACACCCATTTGATTCCCTGTTATAATTGTTTGAATAGTATGTTTCTCTGTTGGTCATATCTATTTGATCCCTTAGTCCTTCATTTGATCCCCTATCAATTTGCTTGAAGGTAATATTATCCTCAATCTATATCATCACACCTGGTCTTACGTGATCCCCTGATATCTGTTTCAATGAAAACTAAAGAATATGTACATCTAAATGGCCCACTGCGTTCATCTTACGTGATCCCCTTATATATCTTTTCAATGAATAGTATTAGTTTAAATGTTACAATCAAGATGTTTCCCCTGGTCAACTTTACGTGAATTCACTTATTACTCCTGTTTCAATGAATAACTATAGAATGTGGTACATAATAGATGATCCCTGGTCAGTCTTCCCATTAAATCCCATATATTTGTTTCCACAACTAAGGGGGGGGTGAAACGAATTTATATGTACATGGTAAATGACCCCCTTTTTTAAATTTCCGTGACCCCTTTTTTTTCATTCAAGGGATACTATAGGTACTTTGTAAATATGGGTTTTTTTCTCTTTGTCATTTTTCCCCTGATCCCCAGTTTCCGTTTAAAAATTTAGAAAGAGTATTTTTGTACATTTTTGAGACCCATTTGGGCAATTTTCGTGACCCCTTTTTATCTGTTAAAATTGAATACTATAAAATGTGTACATTTGATCCCCTGGTCCGATTACATGGTACTCACATATCTGTTCCATAATAAGAAACAATAAATGTACATGTAGATGATCCCCTGCTCATCTCACGTGATCCCTTTATTTCTGTTCAATGAATGCTATAGTATATGTAATATAGACGATCCCTTTGTCATCTTACGTGATCTCCTTAGATCTTTTTAATGAATACTATAGTATATGTAAATCTGAATAATCCCCTGGTCAGCTAAAATTATCTCCATTTATCTGCTCCAAAATATGAAAGCATATAAGTACATCTAAATGACCCCCTGGTCATCTAACGTGATCCCTTTAGTTCTGTTCAATGGATACTATAGTAAATTTTGATATAGTTTAACCCGTTGTCATCTTTCGTGATTTCTATATATCCGTTCCATAATTAGAAAGAGTATATGTACATGTAGATGATACCCTGGTCATCTTATGTGATCCCCTTATATCTGTTCAATGATTCTTACAGTATATGCACATCTAGATGATCTCTTGTCATCTTACAA